GGGATGGAATGGAGGTTCCAGCAGGGATGGAATGGAGGTTCCAGCAGGGATGGAATGGAGGGGTCTCAGAAGGGATGGAATGGGAGTCTCAGCAGGGATGGAATGGGGGTCCCAGCAGGGATGGAATGGGGGTCCCAGCAGGGGTGGAATGGGGGTCCCAGTAGGGGTGGAATGGGGATCCCAGCAGGGCTGGAGGGGTCCCAGCACCCACCTGGTCCCACAGGGCGATCTGCCGCGTGTTCCAGCGGGACACGCCCGTGGTGAGCAGCCTCTTGGTGCTGCCCAGGAACACCACCCTGTTGACACGGTGGTTCTTGCAGCTGGCCTCCTGCAGGGCAGGGGGAGCTCTGTCAGCACCACTGACACCCCAGGAAAGCCCCTTCCTTGCCCTCCCTCATCCCTGTGACATGCCAGCTCTGTCCCCAGCAGTGTGGGGACGCTGTGACTCCAGACCTGTCCCCTGTGCAAGCCAAAAACACCCATTTCCATGAATATCAGAGACCACCTTTACTGAGAACCCAGCACCTGCCTCCAAACTGTGACCTCTGCACCTCCCTCTTTAATTTCCACTATTTTCCACAAATCCTTAATTAACAGAGGAATAAACCCCTCCAACCTGGTGGGGGGATGAGGCTTGGGATGAGGCCGAGCCCTCCCCATCACCTCCACCTGAAAAAAGAACCCTCCCCAGGCAGAGAATGGCCTGCAGCCCCTGCCCTGTGCCCCTGCCTCACCACCAGCACATGCAGCACCTCGGGGATGTTTTGGGACATTCCAGCGGGATTCCTCCCCAAGATCTTATTCCCAACCCCTGGTCCCGTGGCACCTGCAGGACCCGCCCGGAGCGCGGCTCCACCACGCGCAGCTTCTTGTCCTTGCAGGTGGTGGCCAGGAGGCTGCCGTCCGTGTTGAAGGACATGCACAGGATCACGTCCGTGTGGCAGTCGATCATCTTCACCGGCTCCCCGATGTCCAGGTTCCAGATCAGGACCTGCGGGAAGGCGCCTTGGAGTGACTCGGCCCCAGCGGAAGGGGGATCCTTCCAGGTCCCTCCTGACTCAAACCATTCCGTGATCACACCCTGGTGACCCCCACCCGTGCCACCAGCAGGGAAAGAATCACAGAATCAGAGAATCACAGAATCAGCTGGGTTGGAAGGGACCTCC